TTTTTTGGTTTTTCGAGACAGGGTTTCTCGTGTAGCTTTGCGCCTTTCCTGGAACTCACTTGGTAGCCCAGGCTGTCCTCGAACTCACAGAGATCCTCCTGGCTCTGCCTCCCGAGTGCTGGGATTAAAGGCGTGCGCCACCACCGCCCGGCTGAGTCTTTCTTGATACTCAACTCTTTCAGAGTGTTTTGTCTAGTTTTATTTCCTAGACTTGAATTTTCCCTTTGACTTATTATTTCCCTCCTTCTTGGATGTATTTTCTATTTTTTATCAGGAGAGGGAGGAAATGGCCAGAGCTTACAGAAGGACAGTGATGCATGGACAGATCTTCCTTTCAGACAAAAGGTCATTAGTAATGATGCACTGGACACTGAGGGAGTTTTATTCCCACCAGACAAAGTGTGTCTTCGTGAGCTTCATGGTATTTGGGGGAAAGGAGTTGCTTCAACACCATGAACCAGGCTCGGTTAATATGAGACTTAGGTTATATGACAGAATGGGATCTGGAATTTAGTCCTACTTGAAGAGCTCATAGATTATATTCATGGGGTGGGTGGGAAGGATATGGACCAAGTGTGACTGTGTGACAGAAATGAATCTATCTCGAATCTGGGAAAGAAGCAGGTATGTGGTGGGGAGGGATAGCAGCCCTCTGTGCTAAGGGCATTTGTCCTTGGGGCAAGAACGTGAATGGGAAAAATTTAATAATCAATTTAATAATTTAACAGAAAAATAATTCAAAAAATCACTTTGGTTGTTTACTGAGCCTCGATTGGTCCATTGCATGTGACATCACATGGAGTCCTTGTGAGGTATGCCAGATTCTAGCCAATCAAAAGGCTCTACCTGAGGCTGAGTTCTGTCTGTACTTCAGAGAAGCAGTTGGTTGGTGGGAGAGCAGTTGGACTCTGTTGTTTCCCATACACTTGACCTTTTCCCTGACCTGTTGGATCTGGACATAGTGAGTTTGATTCCCAAGTTCTCAGTTTGAGATTTTGGCAATTGGCATTTAATTATTTCTTTATTTACACTATTGGTTTGGGTACTAATATTGCCCTGTAATTCCTTTTTCTTCATTTCAACTTCTCTTCCTTATATCAACTTTTTTCTATGTCATTTTTGCCTGTGTTCTTGTGTATTTTACAAATTTAGTGTTATATATTAAATGCATAGGATGAGGAATTTGATCATCACTGATATCTGACTGTACTCTACTTTGATCATATTTATCTGTAATACTTCACTTCCAGGCCCATTTAATTGGATAATTACCTCCTATTATACAAAGGCTATCTATCCCCCTGCCTGCTCATGACTCGCAGTGAACAAAATGTGACACTTGTGTTTGTGGAACTGGCATGTTTGTAGTCACACTTTCACTAATTCCAAGTTTTTTCCTGAATTAGTCATTTTATTCCACTGATGTCTGACTTTAGGACTTAACGCAGCGTAGTGTGTATGCTGTGCTCTTTGGTAATTTGTGTCCGTTGATGAATCTTGAGTGTTCCTGTTTAACGACAGCTTGATCATGAAGTCTGGTCTTATTAATGTGGTATTGAATATGATATGAGCTATCAATTACTGTCATTTAGGTTTTTCCAATCTGTCAGTCAAAGATATTGCCTGATACTAGGATCTTTTTTAAATGTCTTATATGGTTTGTAAACTATGGTAAACTTCTTTTATGAAATGTACTTGAAAGTTTGCCTTCCCTCAATTTTATGGACTACTGAAATTGTTCTGGATTATTGCTGCTAGTTGTTGAGATTGGACAAGTTGATTTCCAGTTTGTTGGTTTTGACTCCTGGGATTTAGATTTGCTGTTTCATATTTGCATTTATGTTTTTCATTTTTTCCTTTGTATTTATTCTTGTTTCATGCAGTACATCCTGACTGCATCATCCCCTCCCTCCACTCCTCCCAGTTGCCCCTCACCTCCTCTCTCCACTAGATCCACTGCTCCTCTGTTTCCTTTAGAAAAGAGCAGGCTACCAAGGGAGAGCAAGAACATGGAATAGGAGGATGCAATAAGACTATTTTTAAATTTTAGGTTTTTTTTAATGTGAAAATACTTTTGAAGAAACATTTAATTTTTTGTTCTTTGAGAATTTTATTTTTATTTTATTATTAAGATATTTTCTATTCATTTTACATACAAACCACAGATCCCCTGTCCTCCCTCCTCTCACTCCCTCATTCTGCCCCCCAATCCATCCTCCTTTCCCACCTCCTCCAAGGCAAGGTCTCCCATGGGGAGTCAGCAGAGCCTGGTACATTCAGTTGAGGCAGGTCCAAGCTCCTCTCCCCTGCACCAAGGCTGCACAAGGTGTCCCACAATAGACACTGGGATCCAAAATGCCCACTTATGCCCCAGGGATGGATTCCAGCCCCACTGCCTTGGATACCCTAAGCAGTTCCATCTAAACAACTATCTGGCCTATCCAGAGGGACTAGTCCTTACCATGGGGGCTCCATAGCTGTTGGTCCACAGTTCACGAGTTTCCACGCTGTCTCTGTATGTTTTCCTATCATGATTTCGATGTCCCTTGCTCATAGAATTGGACTCTCTCATTGATTCGACTCCTGGAACTTGGCCTGGCACCTGGCCGTGGATCTCTGCATCTGCTTCCATCAGTTATTGGATGAAGGCTCTATGTTAGGGTATTCACTAATCTGATTAGCAGGGTAGACCAGTTCAGGTACCCTCTCAACTATTGTTAGTAGTCTAAGGTGGGGTTATCCTTGTGGATATCTGGGAGCTTCCCTAGTACCCTGTTTCTCCCTGTTCCCATGATGTCTTCATTTGTCATGGTATCGCTTTCACTACTCTCCCACTCTGTCCCTGTTCAAGCTCAAACCTCCCCATTCCCTTACGTTCTCATCCACCATTCTTTGTCCCCCATTACCCTACCTCACCCTCAGTTTGTTCATGTAGATCTCATCTATTTCTCCTTCGCTGGGCTATCTATGTGTCTCTCTTGGGTTCTTCCTTGTTAGCTAGGTTCTCTGGAGCTATGGATTGTAGTCTGGTTATCCTTTGCTTTGCATCTAGTATCCACTTATGAGTGAATACCTACCATGTTTATTCTTCTGAGTCTGGGTTATTTCACTCAGGATATTTTTTATATATACACATTCTCATAATCAATTGATGATACATTTTCATACATGCCTATACTGTACTTGATCATGTTCCCCTGCACTAGGTCACTCCCCCACCATATCTTTGTGACTGATACTGTGACTTTACACAAGCCTAGCCCTCTCCTTCCTCATGACCAGGAGAGACAAAGTAGATCCTGTTTCTGTCTGTGGACCTGCTTTGTCTCCTGTAGAACTCTATCTAGTTTAGCTTCTTTCCTTATAACACAACAGTTCTCCAGTCACTGTGCTGAGTGTGGATTCTTCCCACAGTCTCCTTATGTGCTATGCTGTTGTTCCATTTGTTAAAATGTTACTTCTGCCATTCTGACCTTGAACAAAGGCTCTTTAGTGTGTTGCTGAGATGGAGGTGAAGTATGAGGGACTCTCATGATTGATTTTCACATCTATGTTCATCAAGGAAAGGAGTTCACACTTGCTCCATTTGTTGAGCTTACTTGGTGGTGGGATCAGGCTATCACTGGCACAGGGATGAGTTTGGATGTGTTCCTTTGCTTTCTCTTTCTTGAAGTATTTTCAATAACTTTGGTCTTCATTCTTCTGCAAAGCTTTGAATGATTCGGGGAATCCATGAGATCTGGGCTCTGCCTTATTTGGAGCTGTTTTTGTTGGCAATCCACACTGGTGTTTATGACCTATGTGTTTAAGTGGTTTTATTAATTAATTCTTAATTCAATATTCACACATGTCTAGAAATCCTTTTCATATTTTCTAATTTCCTGGGGCATAAAAACTGTAACATTCCTAAAAGACCCTCTGGACTGTAGTTATATCAGTTACAACATCAGCTTTTCTATATATAATTTGAACCTGATCTATCTTGATCAGCTTTGTTGAGGGGTGGCACATCCTTGAAAAGAAGCATCTCATTCTTTCAGAGATCTCAGGATTTTCCTATGCATGCCAACGTGACTTATACCAACTCTGATCTTTCCTATGATTCCTTATCCACTGCTTTGAGTTTGGGTTCTTCTAGTAATTTTGTATCCTTGAAGAGCATCATTAGATTGTTTGGGATATCTCAATTTCATAACAGAGAATCCAAATCTATATCCTCCCCTTCTAAAACTGCATTAATCTTTTTCTTTTAGCATTGTGTGGGTCTGAAATTGCCCACAAGATAAAGTGGTTGAAATTGAACAGAACACCATGGGCAGCCACATGGAAGAGGACATTCTTGAAAAGGATTTCAGGATGTTAACATCTCTAGGGTGTGGTTCATTCGGGGAGGTGAAGCTGGCCTGCCATCTTCCCACACATACACGAGTGGCTGTCAAGGTCCTTGAGAAAAACACCAACAGTGTGGCTGACATCAGTACTGAAGTGAACATCCTTCAGTCTCTGGAACACAGGAACATCGTTCGATTTTTTGACATGATCGACACACTGACAACCACTTATCTGACTATGGAGTATGTGGCAGGAGAAGATCTGGAGAGCTGCCTCGAGGCACTGGGCTGTCTAAAGGAGGAGGAGGCTAGAGTGATTTTCCGGCAGGTGGTGTCAGCAGTTCACTTCCTCCACCAGAGACGCATTGCACACCGTGATATCAAATTAGAAAACATCCTAGTCGATGCAGCAGGAAATGCAAAGCTTTGTGACTTTGGTATGGCAATTGAAATCACAGAGGGGCAGATGTTGGAGGAGATCTGTGGCTCCTTGCTCTATTGGGCCCCAGAGATCTTGGCAAGAAAGCCCTATGATGGACTGGCAGGTGATATGTGGAGCTTGGGTATCGTCCTGTATGTCCTGGTCACAGGGCACTTCCCATACATGGAAGAAACCCTTGAAGGTATGCACAGGGTCATCACCACCACAATGTGTCCCATTCCTTACCATCTGTCAAAACCCTGTCACTTCATCATTGCCCGACTACTCATGGTCCCTCTCTGGTACCGATTCACAATCTGTCAGCTTGTGGAACGACCATGGCTGGGCCCCTTTCAAGAACATGTACTGCCTGGCACCAAAGAAATCCTGCCCAGGGTCGTGGAGACCATGTGCACCATCGGCTATACCTGTGAGGAGATTGTTTCATCCCTAACGCACAGGCGAGAAGATAATCATGTAAGGGCTACTTGCAACATTCTCAAATATCAGCTGAGTGGTGGGGACAGCCATCAGCAAGATCTGATGCCCTGGCTAACTAGCAGCCCTGCAGATCCTGTTCACCTCCCTCTCCCCTTGACCAGGAGAGCCAGTGAACCAGCATTTACAACCAGTACACAAGCTGTGAAGAGTCACGTTAAGGAGGAGAGTGGGGAAGAAAGAGGCAAAACATACAGAAGCCACAGCATGCCCCACGTATACACCCTCCTGGATGAGCTGCCCTGTTCAGACAACACAGTCCCAGAAAGAGATGCTCTTGTGGCTGACGTCATCAACACTGCTACAGAGGACACTGAAGTCAACAGGAATTCTGTTGACTCCCTGCCTGGCAATCTCTCCTCCCCTGAATTAATCTTGGATGCAACACCCATGGGATTTCTCAACCTGAGCTTCTGTGAGGAAGATTCATCCCATGGGTCAGACATTCCCAGTGACCAGCCCCAGGTGGCACCCACAACATCTGGATCCAGGCCATTCAGGGTCTGGAAACTGGTGAGGAAGCAAATGTCCCATGCACTGAGAGCACTGTGTTGCTGCTACTGCTGCTGCTGCCTGCCCACTTCAAGGTGAGCTTGGAACCCTTGCATCCGGGACTTCAAGGAAAAGAGAGGACAGTGGAGACCTACATGGAGAGCAGTAGGTTGGGCCACACTGATGATCTCCTACATTGTATTTTCAATATGCTATTTCAATATCCTTTCTAAATGAAATGTTGTACCCACTCATAGCTCCCAGAATTTCAGATATGTGGTATATTAGATGGCAAATTCACAGCTTCCTGTTCATGTACAACCCTGGAAGGCTGAGGCAAAAGCAGATATCATAGCATGGGGACCACAGGGTGGGAAGGAAGGGAGGAGAGTTTGGCTAAAGAGGGCAAAGGGCAGAATGGAGGAATCAGGGGAGGAATATGGCACAGAACTTTATCTCCCAAAGTCACTAATAGAGGTGCTTTCATATTTCGTTCTGCTTTGAAGTGTGGAAACTGAAATGGCCCAATAGAATTCCAGACCTGGTGAGGAGTTACTGCCACAGAAGTGAGCCAGAACTGATCTCCAGTGTGCCAGCTTCCTCCAATCCAGGGCAACAGGCTCCTGCCTGCATTCATCCTCCAGCAATTGGGTCTGAGCTGCCACTTTGCATCTCTTCCAGCTCAATTCAGCTTCAGAACTGTTGTGGGACAATTGGGGGTCACAAAGCACATGGACCCCATGACCCTGTACCTTCCTAGCTTTGGTTGTGCTTGCAGGACCACTCACACTGCATGGAAAACAGCAGCCTCTACCTCCAGGAACGACTTTATACAAATCTAGGCTGCTCATCATCTTGGTCACTTTAACCCTCCAACTTACTCTGTGACTGCCTTATGGACAAAACAGCAAGACCTGTGCAAATCCTCTGGAGAATGGAGGTGGGTGAAAGAGATAAAGAGGACTAAGTGGGGAAACAGTTTCGAGACAGGAATAGGGGACATGAGAGTTGGTGTAGAATAAGGAGTAGAGTCTGTCCTGAGGAACAAAGTAACATGAAAGAGATGTGTGTGCTGACCTGTGACAGGGGCTATGCACAGTCTACAGCAGGAACAAACCTCCCCTGAAGTGCAGAGTGGGAGGGAGCTAGGAAGAGCCAGCAATGAGGAGGAGAGGGCCTGCTCTGATGGTTCCTAGCATGTGTCAAGACACACAAGTAGGATGTTGTCTTGGAAATAACATCCTGTTCTCTCCTACAGATCTGGGGTGCAGCAGGAGAAAGATGCAGCACTATTGGTCAGTGGAGTCCAATCCTCCTCAGTGCTGAGTAAGTCCTGTCTATTAAAGTCACTAAGAGAGGCACTTTCTTTATTCTTTCGGGTTTTATTTGGGAAAAGTGAAATGCTCTACTTGAACTACAGTCTTGGTGTGGTGTAGTGCAAAAGGCAGGATCCAGGCTGGAAATCTGTGTCCTGTGTGATGATATGTTAGGGCTACAGGTTCCAGTATCCATCCTCCAGGTTAGGGTCTCAGATGCCATCTTCCCCATCCTTCACCTCACTGCTGCCCCTGCACTGTTGTTGAACATTCCTGAGAGTCACCTGTAGCATTGACCCAATGAATGTCTACATCCCTCATGGTTCCTGTGGGACCAGGGTTCCATGGCATCTCAAAGGGCTGCCTCTGTAGGTCTCAGGCTTTCCTCAACTTTCATTGCTTCATCACCTCCAAACTGTTTTCTTAGTGTCTTTTAGAAGAACTGCAGGAACTGTAAATCCAGTGGGAGATGGGAGGATGGAGATAAGGGGGCGGGGGGGGGATCAAGAGGGAATGAGAGGACCTGTAGAGAGGGTAGAGTCTGTCCAGAGGAGCTTACCTGAAATGAGTGGAGAAGAGGAGGTTTTGCTGGGGTACGGGTCTTGAAGAAGTGAGACCAGGAACAATTGTCTCAAATGGAGCAGAGTGTGACCTTGGGTATATTGCCAGCCATGAGGAGGAAAGAGCCTGCTCTGATGGTTCCTGGCATATGTCAATGTAGTGAAGTATGAGGCTGATTTGGAAAGGTTTTCCCATTCTGGGCTACTGAAGAAGGGTCTGGCAGCAGAGAAGGGTGGCTCCGTCATGTAGTGGGGTCCTCTGCTGCTCCTGTCTGACATGTCATTGGCAGATCTGATGATGTCTATGTCTTTGTCTCCATAGCCTCCTTCATCCAGGATTCCCTTGCTGTCTCCCACCTCCTGATCCAAGAAACTTGCATCATTTTTCCATCACATGGAGGGATTTATAACTGACATTTGACCTTACATTAACATTGTTCTGCTCCAAAATGGGAAGGTAAGTAGGCCTTGCCAGGCCAGCAGCCATGGGACTTCTCTATGACCAATGCTCGCCATAGGTCAGTGCAAGGAAACCTTGATCATCATGGATCTCTTGATGACAGCCCCTGGTGCAGTGTGAAGCACTGGTTGAGTGTAGTGTGTGAACTGTTTTCCAGGTCACCTTCCAGGTAGGGAGCACCTCACTGATTTGGCAAAGGGAAATGAACTCAACAGGGACTCCAGGGTACTAATCTGTGTGAATCAGGCACCTGCAGGTAAGGTTGAGTACAGTAAGTATCTGTGTGTGGCAGAAGATAAGTCTCTGAAGCCTGGTCTTGATTTCATGAAGAAAAGGATCCCATGAAGTAGCATGTGCCAGTATCCATGACACAGAGGGAAAGTTATCACTGACTTGTTCAACTGAAGAGCAATGGGAGACTGAGAGACTGCAGAGGTGTGACAAGGGAGGAACCAGCTTCTCTGCTGTAGTTGGCCTCCAGCTCCACTCTGACCATCTGATCCTGGGCTGTTAGCAAACACTGATGCATGTTAAAGTCTTCAGCAAGATCTTCCCAGTGGATGATAGCCAGCTTGTGCTGTCACTGACTTCTAGAACCCTGACCATCTGGTGAGTCCAAGTGTCCAGAACAAGATCAGTCAGTTTGTTCAAGAGGAGAGAGAAATGTTCCGTTTGTGGGTATCACCTGCTGTCAGACTGTGTTTCTGCTGCATATCAGTGAAGGCAGGGCTGAGAAATGGTTGAGGATTCTGTTGAATTCCAGAAATGAGATGGGGAAATTTCCTGAATCCTCATTTTATATTTTACTTTTTTTGAGACTGGATCTCACTATAGCCCTTACTCTCCCAACACGCTCTGTGTAGAACATGCAGACTCAATCTCACAGAGATTGACCTCCTTTCTCTGCCTCCTGAGTGCTGTGATTACAGATGTGGACTGCCATGCCTGGCTTCAAGTACTGTATGTGCATCATCAATGGTAAATTCCTCAAACATTTGAGGAAGAAGTAGACAAGTTCTGTGCTTCTTTCATCCTGACAGGTTCAGGGACTGAACTGAAGGTTCTTTCAACCAGGATGGACTACAAACAGTAGCAAAGTCCAAATCTAACCTTCAAAATAGAAGTCTATGTCCACCAGTGAACAGATACCTGGAGGTGAGAATTGCCTTGGAATTCTTCTGGGGACACTGGTCAGTGGGTTGGAGGAGGTATGTCCTAGCTGATACATCCTTGGAAACAAGGCACAGAGCATGAGAAGAGCATGAGAAGGCTGCTCTCTAACCCTGTTTTCACAGGACCCCCACTGCAGTCCAGGCACAAATCCCATGACCTCAACCTGACCAATCAGGAGAGTCCAGATTGACTACCTGGTCTGATTGATTGAGTTCTTTCCATTTGAGCCTTGAGATCACAGCTGAGGACTCAAGGTGGGTCACTGAGACAGCTGGTGCCTGTCTTGGCATGTTGGAGGCAGGGCTCTCACTTTAAGGACACCAGTGCCAGAGGCAGTGCATAAAGCCACATATTCTAGATAGAAGCTTCCAGTTCTACTCATCTGACACCCAGATACTGTTTGCTTGTCTGCTGATTTCCACGGCTCCTCTTGCTCATGGGTCCCACAGTGCTTTTATTATTTGTCAAAACCACTTTGGGTTGCTTTTAGGCCACTGAATCTTGTTCATACTCCCTAGTTAATGGAGAGCCAGGGCTGCAGGTTTCTGGATTCTGAACCAACTAGGACTCTGTACACCCCACTGTAGACAGTGCATGATGGTAGATGTGACCAGCCCCTCCCAAGAACACTGTGGACAATCCCAGGAAGACCACTGTCCTATTCCATGTCCTGAGTGTTCTGTTGTTCATGTTCTGACCCCTATGACCTGCACATTTTGCATATGAAAAAGAAAGTGACCTTTGTCTTTGGGACAAGCTTGTCACACATAACACATTCATCCTCAGTTGTATCTGTTTTCTAAAAAATGTGTAAATTTCACTCTTTGGGGTGAGTATGTGCTCTTTCCCCTGTATGCTCTTCATTGATTTATTCCATTTACTCATTTATTTATCCATTTATTTATTTATTTATTTATTTATTTATCTCTATATACATATTCATTCTATGTGTCTTTTACATCAGGTATTTTGATTACATTCATGTCCCCATCATTTCACATCTGCCCTCCACCCCTACAACTGCCCCAATACAACAAAATTTAGCAGAAAAAAAGGAAACATAAGATAAAATTAAAAAGGGGGAAAAGGGGGAAACTTAAAGGTTTCCTCATGGAAGCTGCAGTGACCGAGTGTGACAGAATGAGTCACACTGTAAACCACTCTGTCCACATATCTTCACTTGTTAGTGCTCATTGCGGAGTCACTGGTCTGGTTCCAGACCTTCAGTGCCTATGACACTAATTAATTTTGTGTTTGATACTGTCATCTGTCCTTTGCATTTGGCACATTAACTTGTTTCACTGTCTGGGTATGCAAATTTAAAATTCTGACTTCAAAATCACCAGTGCCACAGTACAAACCCACTTCTAAATAAATTGTCATGGTTGATCTGGAGACGGAGAGCAGAGGACGATAACCAGGGATTGCAGAGGCAGCAGGAAAGAATTGACTAAGGGAGGAATTTATAGAGAATGGAAGAGACAGATGGGAGGAGCCATGGGGAGAGGGTTGCACAGTAAGTCTAGCTTAAGTGCTGCATATTTCAAGTTCCCCTAGAGTCCCTTTCCCATGTCCATCCTCTTTAAAGTGATGAGCTCTCTACATCAGGAGACACAGGGTGGTGACTTGCAGGTGTGGCCTGAGACAGCAGAAGTTGGAGCTCTGCAGGAAGTCCAGATGGCAGTGTGCCCACTTTCCCAGCATGAAGGGTCTGTGTACAGCACAGGAGGAGGTAAGCCAGCTACCACAGGATTCCCTCCAGGAAACCTTAGTTATCAAGGATCCAGGGCTGGTGTTTCACAGCATCCTTGTCTGAGGGGCCATGAGCCAACACCAGGTACAAGCTACCCTTGAATGTGCAGACCCTGTGGACCAGTCTGCAGGGGAATAACTAGCAGTACTCATTAATCTGTCCACCCTTTAGGTTTCTGATCCTAGTGAATTGTTTCCCCACATGAGGGGAAGGGAGCTCCTTCCTCTCCTTCCTTTTCCTCCTTCCCTGCTGCAGCCTTCATTTATCCCTGTGCCCTGACCATCAGAAAAGACACAGTCCCACAGCATGCTGGGCTAGTTTATGTGTTTGTGAAGGGGCCTCACTCTAGGGAGTTTCATCAGAACCATATTTGTCTCCTAACAGGAAAGTGACAGCAAGCTGGAGGAAAATGGGTACCACTTTGGATGGAATGCTGGGACATTGCTCCACTTTGGAAGTGAGTGGGCCTTACCTAGCCTAGGGCACAGTGGTCAGAGGTGGGGTCAGCACTCCTAAAACTACCTTGTACCCAGGTCCCACTGGGTACAGTGGTCAGGCCTAGACAGCCTTATTGACCACAGAGCTATGGCTTTCTGCTAGGCCTTCTGCTTGCTTGTCTAGAGTGTTGTCAGGTGCACCTGACAGGCAGACAGCCTCTCCATGCAGTGAAGGATGGCCACTCTGAATGGGATTATTGTCAAGGCTCATTTCTGGGCAGCACATGGCTGAAAGCATCACTGAGACCACTATCTAACAGCCTGTAGTAGATGATTAGTTTTTGGTTTCTGGTCTAAACTTGACTCTGGCTTAGAGGTTAGGAAGAATGAGGCTTCTCAGGCAGGTCTGCCTCAATCCCAAGAGTAGGTGGTCACTTCGCTTGTATTACAGAGGACAAGAGAGACAGAGGGAGAGAGAGGGGGGAGAGGGAGAGGAAAGAGAGAGGGGGGAGAGGGAGAGAGAGAGAGAGAGAGAGAGAGAGAGAGAGAGAGAGAGAGAAACAGCTGAGGCATGGCTACAGAGGGATATTGAGATAACTTGGTGTAGATGGCACATCTCTCCCCTCTGACCCTAACACCACTGAGAAGGAACACTTTGAATCAAAGATGGTGAACATCTTCTCACAGCTGTATGCTGTGACATCCATTCTGTCACTGGACAGTGACTTAGTCTGTGTTGGGTTCCAGAGACTGGGGCGTGGCGATTCACACAACCTAGCAAGGGAAACCAGCCAAGAGACAATGACTGCTTGCTCCTCAAGATCATGGCTTGTCTGTTGTTCAGTGAGTGACCACTAAGGCAGGCTTCACCCTGATGCACTTAACAGAAACCGTGGCCTGTGGAAGGGGGTCTTGGGTACTGTGGCCAGGCATAGAATCTCTCAGGAGACAGCACTTGTGGACTGGGACTCCAAGCTATGGGAGTGGTATCTAAGAATGTGACTTTTAAGAACCAGAGTTAATGTCCAAGTGGCCAGGTGAGTTGAATGTGAACTTTTTATATCACTCGCCACTGCAGGGAGCTTGTGGTGGCCTTTAGACTGTTATGTGAGAGAAGTCAGCTTATGATGAGGCTCACACACTCAACACCCTCCTTCTCCCACTGCCTGCCTCCTGGAGGCATCAGGAAAAGTCACCGAAAATACATGCCATTGTACCAAGATATTTACATACACTGCCCCAAAATTGCTCAGTAATACTCTTCTCCCAGTGGAGAAAAGTGAGTCCAAGTGATGCTGGGTAGCCTGCTCTTTTGGAAGGAGGCTGACTGGCTAGTTGGGACTGTTTAAATTCCTCCCAGGTCATTGACACAGATAGGATGACTAGTGTGGTAACAGCCTGGGTCTCTTGTAGTCTCAGAGGCCAACTCCAGAACTCTCACTGACCATCCTTTCTTTCCTCAGATCTGCAGGTTCTGGTGATTATGTTCTGAGACAAACCTCATCTTCACCTTATGTGCATCCTGTCTCATCTAGGCAAGTATTCAGTGAGCTGGGTGCAGGAAGCACAGCGTCTAGACACAGACATGTTGGTGAAACTGTGTTTCCTTCTTGATCCTAGAGCCTGTTTATGGGACAGTAGCAGAGCAGCTAGGACAAACCAATCCCTGCAATCAGGGCTTCTCAAGGAGACCCCACTGAGTTCTCTCACAGGAAGTCACATGGGAAGGAAAAAGTCATTATTCCTGCCTCATTAGGTCCTGAACTCCAGCAGAAATAAACCAGCTATTATGTGAAAGGCCACAGGTCTAGGGTGGTGAATGAATCCTTCTGCCAGCCTCATAATGGTCTAACATAAGCTTTTTCTTCTAGGTGCCTGGCCATATCCTGAATCGTGGAACCCGAGAATTCCTGACTTGCATGTGTGCACACTGAGCATTGGTGACATGGAGGAAAAAGAGCACCTCTCCCCTCCCCTTCCTGGCAGAGTAGCATGCCATTGTCTGAGCTCCAGAGGAACTCAGAGGCTCCACAAAGCAACAGGAGGACATGCTGTGGAGGATGATGACATGGTTTCTCTTCCATCATCCAACTACAGACAACCACCCCAAATTACCAACAAGACCTGGGGAATCTACAGCAGTGTCCCCTTGTGGAAGCCACCCAGTGGATAATTACTGTTGAATCCTGCCCAACTTAGACCCCTTTGCATTTTGACAATTCAGAAAGTTACCTGTGCCTCTCTGTCTTCACAGATAACAAAGAAAACCTGCCTGAGAAAGTAAAGAAATATCTCAGAAGAGCCTTAGGAACTAAATCTGCTTATCTTTCTGAACTCTAGAGTGGATCTCCTGAAAAGGGCAGTATCCATGGACCACCTGTCCCAGGCCTCCACCAACATGAAGAGGCAGAACTTGAGGTCATACATTTGGCCCATTTCTCACTGGTATTAGGGAAACACAATTTACTGAAGTATTTAATTAGAATCCCAACGTAATTTCTATACATTGGCATTCAGAATGCTTTGACACCTGGAGGAGAGAATCCAAACAATATGAGTTCTCAGGTTCTACCAGTTGTTTTTCTAAAGGTGGCAGATGTTTGCACTTCATCAGACTCAGCAAAATCCAGTCTGATGCTCAAGCACAAGATGTAACAACCAATGGGACCTAAACCAGAAGACAAGATAGAGAACAGGAGAGATCCCTCCAGACCCCAATCTTCTTCTTCCAGGACTTCCCACCAAGCCTCAGAGATCCATAAAGGGCTACAGGGAAGTAATGGAGACTGGATATGTGGAACAGAACAGAAAGCTCAGAAACAGACCCAACGAAATCCTTCCAGCTGTTTTTCTCATAGTCACCCATGGAAATCAAGGAAGATAGAAGGGCTTGTCCACAAATGACTGCAGAAGATTTAAGAACAAACAATAAGAAGCCCATTGAAAACCTGAACACAGTCAGCATTTCAACTGGCACCAAATTCAAACACTGTAATGTTCACATAAACTTAGAGAAGAGGACTACATAAGTTCCTGCCTTATAAAAAGGAAGATCAGAAATAATACAGAGAAGATGAAGTGTGGACTCGGGAGCCCTTCTGCCACCAGACATGAAAATACAGAAGCTGGAGCATGGCTGGAACAGACACTGCCCCAGGACATCCAGAGAGAGCCTGGCCCCTGACACACACCAGCAGACAACAAATCCCTGACAGTGAAAGTTGTGTGGCTATGAGGAGGTGGAGGTGTAGTGTGTGCTGTGTGGTGTGAGGAGGGCTGAAACCTATCACATCATGTGGGATGGAGATGAGCTGTCCAGCTGATCTGATAACAGCACTGTATTGATTGTCCAGTCAGCTGGGGAAAGACGCAGGTCTGACACCTGGATACTCACATGTGCTACCCACAACCCTCCCCTTGTTAACAACTTACATACAGGGTCTGTGTAAGGACATGAAGGACTCCCCTTACCCACACTCTCCACAGAGTTCTCTAGGTATTAGGCCTAGGTATTCAACTCTCTTCTGCTGTCCCCCACACAATGCTGGATTCTAGACCATGCTAGACATGCCTCCCACCACAATGTACTAAGACATGGGGAAAGGTACCAGGCCCTGTTGGACACTTGACCTCCTGAAAAGGACACACAGTTACTGCTTGGCTCAAACACTCCTGGAAACTTCCTGCACTGACGTACAACACTAGGTATAATGCAGTGCGGGGCACTACAGCCATGCCACCTCACTTATACTGCCAGCTGTCAGACCAGATAAACAACCTCTACATCACACACACACACACACACACACACACACACACACACACACACACACACACAGCCTCTAAGACACTTCTAAGAATTGGCCAAGCATAACTTTCCAGCAAATCACACATTGACTGCCAGGTATCAGCCCTCACTGAACAAATGCTCACAAACACTTGCCATGTGTTCTTAAATTGGGATGGAGAATGTCACCCACGTATCCCTGATTAACAGCTATTTATCAGGCCACACAGGATACTCTCTTGCCACTGTACCCAAATACTCAGCTAGTGTTGGTCCCCAGTTGACACCCTAAAATCACTGAAATTCCACATACACTGCTAGGGTTCACACCCTCTTGAATATCACACCCAACAACTACAATCTACAGTATTAGCATCAGGGCCCAAAGGATGTTACATTTCATCAACCCATATATCCCTGTTGGATATCAGACCTGCTGGGCATTCCAAACTCCATGGCAACTCCTACAAGGCTAGCTGGAGGCCCTGGAATGCACACATCACCCTGCAGCCCTCACATGCACTGTCAGGTGTCAGGATCTGTTGGCTCCCTCAGTGCCTCACACACACTCTGAACTGTCAAGCACACTCGGACATCACATTGCACACTCCCAATGTACTTCAAAATGTCATCAGACCTTGACATACACCAGCTCAGCCATGAGCTGACACACACTCAGTAGGGATTGTGCCCAGCTTGACACCCCATTCTTCCACTGCTCCCCTCTGACATACAGCTATCATCAAACACACTGGACACACCACCACCCCTGTGACCACATATCCACTCTAGGTACCAGGTCCAGTTTGACCTCACACCCCACATAAATCGACAGCCATCAGACCATGCTGGGAACTTCTCCCCTAGTCAGGTCTTCTACAATACTTAGAAATTTGCACATCTGGACACCCTCCTTCTGCTGAAGACACACCCACACTGCTAGGCATCAGCTTCTACTGGACTCCTTCCTATGCTATACCATGTGCTGGGTCTCAGGCTCTACTGCTAGTTACTGGGCCATGCTGGACATTAACACCTGTCCAAACCACAGTGCATATAAAGTGCTGTGTGTCAGGTTCATTTGAACACAAGCTTCATCACACATGACTTGCTAGGTACCAGACAATGTTGACACACACCCTTAGCCTCAATATACACTGCTGGACCAGGGGACATTGTAATTTTAAAGGCTCTGCTAGACACCTCCATCACTGACATATCAAGATTCTTGCTATCAGACACTACCACTTTGTGCAGATTTCAGTCATGTATATTGAAGTATATTGTATGCATATACAATAATTGGCTTCAAGTCTTACCCAAAATAGCACCATTCTGCTGACAACATTCACTACCAGACAGGGCATGGGTCTAAGCACAGCTGAAAACTAGCAGGGCTATTGTGGCAGCAGGATGGGTGAAGGAAGAGAAACTTATTAGATGAGGCCGTAATCCAGCACAATATCCGGGTTAGGACTGGGGAGTCCTGAGGATGAGATACAGAGTAGGGCATCCAGGCCTCAGGCAGGTGTGCAGCAAAGCCTGAAACCAAGCAGTGTGTTTCAGGCTATAGTGGCAGGGGTAGGAGTGTCCAGCCACGTGATAACTAGTTGTACATAGGTGGGTTGGGCAGCAGGACTAGGGGGCAGTAGCTAGCAAGGCCTGTTGTGTGGGCAGCCCCTGATAGTGGGATGAGTCTCTGTGGGAGAAGCAGGGGGATGCTCTGCAGTGTGTCTTATGAACACAATGATGTATGTTGGCTGGCAGCAGTTGGGAGTTGTCTAGATTCCTTAGGACATGACACCTAGCAGTCTATGTAGGAAACCAGGGGGGTTTGCAGCCTTGTCTATTCAATAGTAATATATGTGGAGCAGTGGTGAAGATGATGATGTTATAAGGAAAATGTGTGTGTGTGTGTGTGTGTGTGTGTGTGTGTGTGTGTGTGTGTGTGTGTGTACTTGTGCTTGAACTTGTGGTGAGTGGTCAGAGTGTGCTGCATTGTCATAGGGATCGCTGTCTTAGAGAAAATGAGTCAGTGACTAGGTAAATAGAAGCCCAGGGTCAGTATATTATTAATGAAGTTGATCAGAGAACATATCTTCAAGTTATGGACTTGAGAGATTTTGGAGAATAAGGGTAGAAAACAAGAAATGTGGGAATTGATGAATACAGGCCTGGGGGAGGAATTTGACTTTATTTTTACTGTACCAAGAAGTCAAGTTTTCTCTTTGCCAACAACACTAGGTATCATCGTCTCTAAGGTGTACCCACACTTCAAACCCACCCCCACGTTGCTAGGTGTCAGGTTCTACTCTGAAAAATGTCTTCTACAGCAGGTGCCAAACACACATGCCTAGGCATGATGTCCCGTAGGTCAACTGTCCATTAAAGAAAATGCTCCTCTCATACAGTTGGGTAGCTTGTCCTCCACAAGATCAACAATTCAATGGCTAAAGCACCTTGCACAGGGCTGGGTATCTGGTTTTTCTAAAGATCCCCTTACCTACAGCAGCAGAAGCCATAAACAGATGCCCACATACTATAACACAAGTGTCAGGGACCAGTATTTATCTCTTCCCATAGAACCACATATACATTCATGGTTAGGTCACATTCCTGATAGGAATTGCCTCAGCTACATCAGTACAACACACCCAGAACTAGGCATCAGATCCTGCTGGGCACCTCTTCCCCTACATCCAAAGGACCACACAGTTACACAGCTAGTTTTCTAGTACTGGTACCCCTACCCTATAGTCAATGCCTTGTACACAGCCACACACTCACAAACACACTCAGGCACACATCCTTGTATGATCCCATGCACGTGCTCATGCACTCTCATCTAGCTGTCATGTCAACAAGGTCTCCCTCATTCAGCCAAAGCCCTATTTACACACAGCCAGCAAGGTGCTTCTGCTGCTAGGTGTCCATTACCTACAGCCAAACTATCTCCTCTCTCTCTCTCCTCTCTCTCTCCTCACTCTTCTCTCTCTCTCTCTCTCTCTCTCTCTCTCTCTCTCTCTCTCTCTCTCTCTCT